AAACCTTTGCCTAATCCAAAAAGCTTGGACCTCGGAAAGATGATATAATTTTGGGCAATGTCATGGTATATCCTTTCTTTATAGGATAAATATATTCGTTTCATATTTAAAAGGCATACATTTCCAGGAGGAGGAAACTGTATGTTATTCTTTGTACGACGATTCAGTGTGAACAGGGACAGCTGGCTTCTTGTAGCGAGTTCAATATCAACATATAAATATTTAAAATGTAGTTCCCGTAATGTTTCGGAAACAAGATGTGACGGTTGGACAGGTAAATAAAGGAAAGCTGAGACGAGACACACTAATAAAATATTGTGTTGACAGTTTTAGTGGCAGCATGGCCACAGAAATGTGCAGGTCTGCAACAAGAAAATATAAATATTGAGCTCTCAAAATAATTAGACCGTTATGAACCAAAGACTTAGCGGATAGCTTGAAACATCAGCGGACTAAATACACGGAGATGTGTTCGCAGTATCAAACTTCTGACTCCATGACATCAATTTCAAGTAGTGTCCCCATTTTGAAGACGAAGATTTGGTTACATACTCACACTAGTACAACCACTGTGCATGGTATGAACGATAACTGAATAATGCAGCCACATGACGGTATAAATTTTGCATCTAATATGGAAGACACGTTACTACCAAACAACCATGTTAACTTTGTTGAAGTTGCGAAGTGCTGACAGCTTCAGTTAACCATTCTAGTTCAGACTTGAAACCTATTATGCAATCAAGCAGCCTAATATATCAGGAAACATGAAAGTTCGCAAGGAATGCGAAACAAGATAACAAAGTTGTAATCAAAATAAAATTCAAATCAAATTAAAAGTAACTTCTAGTAGGAATGAATCAAGTGACGTGTGTAGGATTTTAAGCCTCACAGCGGTGATTATGAAGAGTACTATCTTGTGGGATATAGCGCCGTTTAGTCCTTGGATAACGAATCGATGTTTCGGAAGTCGTTGTCTTCAACTTTGGGGTCGAAGAATAAGTCAAGCAAGAAACCAGCGTAAAAGCAAATGGTAAGCAGAGAGCTCTCTGCTTACCACCCTCTTTCAGTTCGACCTTGAAGATGGAGGCTTCATGTTCTTCTGAAACGTCGGACCACTTTCAATGGACTACGTGGCTTTTTACCGCAGAAAATAAAACTCTACAAGTGAGATGTTTTCTTATCCTCTTGTTTGAATGGTCTGTAAAAGCATGATCCATCATATTAAAAAGAACCTAGTGTACAGCAACTCAGACCTACAGAAACAAACTCGTACTTTGTGTACTCATTAGCATTGTCTTCACACCTATATGTATGTATTAGTAGTAAATTATAATATCGAAGACGACATCCAATCTCGTTGAAACACACTCGAAATCTAAGGTTCAACGAAGCATTATTCTGAAAGTATCTTTATGAGATATTGTCTGGCAGATGTTGTTCAGAACCACTGAGCTAAAAAGACAAACTTTATTCAACTGCGTCAGCTTGTCAGTTTCTTTGGATGAGAGGAGAGATAAAGCATTTCCACTCACTGTCAAATAAATATTTGCTAGAGCAATGCGCACATTCTTGTAAGAAGAAAATGTAGCTCTCCTTCAGTGAACGAAAATTATGCATAGGACTGGATATGTTCTCGAAAACTACTGTTGGTTAAGTAATCAGAATTGAAAGCTGACGAGGTTTCTTGAGTGAGCATTAAAATGTAAAGAATTTTGTCCAAGTTATCATCCAATGTGTAATGAGTAATTTCCACATATCTTTGCATTACGTAAGCATTATTCAGTCACAATAATTTGTTACGTAGGTACAAGCTTTATGATCGGCTGATTCATTATCCAAGGAGACTACGAATTTCTAAGGCATCGCAGTGAGTCATGACAAGTCTTGTGAAGATCAGAAAATAATATTCTTCTAATGTTATTGGGTGTATATAGAAAAACCAGTCATTCTGCAGTCTCCTTTTCGTAAACTAAGCACAAAACAATGTCAAGCAGTAAACAACACACTACTTCTTGTTAAAGGCTGTGCAATGCTGAGAAGTAATACGTGTTTATCCTCAGTCACGACAGTTCAATTTCGGACAAGCTAACAGGTCATATCTCGTCGGCGGTACAAACTCTTCGGAAATTAAACTTCTCTTTGTGGAATTTAAAGGGTACCTCGCACCGCAATATTGATAATAATTTATGAAACTAATAATTTAATATAAAATTGGTCACAATTCTATTATCTTCAAAGTTAATGGGCTTATTCGCGCTCATTCAATGATCTGTAATGTCTGCAATTGAAGCATTATTTTTCTTCTTATTTTTCTATTGACGTACTGGGCACTCTGAGCCCGTCCTCCGCTGTTCATTAATCATAAACTATGAATGTTACAGATAATTGGTAGGTGCCATTTGATGGGGGATCAGCTCCCCTCAGGGTTAATACCAAACACAAACACAGAAAAGCACAGATATAAACCCATGTCTTGAGTAGGTTTCGAACCCACGATCCCAGTGTTTGAACGGGGAAAGACATTTCGTGCGTTAGACCGCCCGGCCACTGTGAGCAGCAAGCAATAACTAACGAAACTTGATATCAAAGCGCTACATAACTTGAGCACATGAAAGTTTATTAAGAAAACTAACAATAAATGTCTCAGAATGAAATCGACAGTCTTTCAGTAACGAAACTGAATTAATAAGTTAATTTTCCACTTTCCTAATTGGCGAACATGTTTCAGGAGTAATAATATTCCGCCTCTTCAAAGCTTCCTCCCCCAGAGATTCAATAAACGGCTATCTCCACCCCAACTGCACCTTCATCCCTTTTAAATATTTCCCTCGCTCAGACCTCAGAATACCCGTATTCTGCATCACATAAGCTGCATGGCCAACCTATAAAATGGTTTAAACGTACGGTCTGTAATATTTTACGTGTAAGATTGTTGAATTGAATAGCCACTTAATCCCGAAAAGCTGAGGGAGCTATTGGGTGCAGAATTTGCTATCGCATCTCTGCAGATTAACGTTCAGCCCTTGAGGGAAGCTTGCCCGCTGCACCAGATACTTCGCTGTTCCCTTAATACCTCCTCCGGAAGACCAATCTTAGGCCCTAAGCTTGTGGGCTAGATAGGACGGAACGTGTAGTTAAGCGTCCAGTCTCAGTAAACCATCTTCAATACTAAATTTTATCTAGCTCCATTTTACGTTATTGATGCCCCATTAGCTTTATTGGCCATTTCTGGTGTAAATGGCAGTCAGACATTTACCTAATGGCCTGTTTCCTGAATGTATTAAATATAGGTGTACAAACTCAACTCACCTTAACGGCAATATTGAGAAGAAATTAGTTCAAAGCGTAATTTTTCTGTTTTTAATATTCACAATTGCAAAATAAATTACAGTACAGAATTTTGTACTGAGATTTTAATTCAGAAAGATTCGTTCGTAATTACAAAATGCGTTTTATGATCAGTAATTAGTTCAGTAATAAATGGTTATAATTTCAAGGGGTATATTAACACCGCTCTTCTCCAACCCGCCTTTGCTTGTATCGGCGCAGTCGGAATGGTGCTATCCCTGCTACACCTGTTTCTACCTTAGGACAGTGTATGATGGCCACTGCAAGTTGTCCTCACAGATCAAACTAAGGAAGATCGGTATAGGTATGGGAAACTAGCTGGGTCGGTTCGCATGTGTCTCAGGGTAGCGATGCCTAAGAAAGCGTTTTTCTGCGAGTTGAGCCAATTGACGTTTATTCACCTGCTAATTCACCACACTGTTAAATTAATGTATTCTTAGCTTTAAGTTACAGCGTTACTATCGGCAAGCTATGTCTCGGAGCGTGCAAAGGTCANGGCAATTGTAACAACCTCTGACCTGTCCTTTTAGGCGCGTCCGGTTCCCTGTACCCGAGCTAAATTTATGACTGATCGTAAATGTCATAACTCCGGACTTCTTGTTTCTGCCAGAATCTAGAAATTTTCAACATAAACACCGTATTGCAGGTCCTAGACGATGAAATACGATATTATAGATCACGATACATTTCCAGTAATATGGAAACATAAGACTTTTGAAATTTAAATTACCGAGAATTAATTAGAAATAAATTTCATGGTCATCTATAATCATCAAAATAAATAAGGGCTCAGAATGATCAGCGTCACTATTTTCTGGGATATAAAACCGTGCAGTCCGTTGGAAGCTAACTGATGCTTCAGAGGAACATATCGCATCAGTCTTTAGAGCTGAAGAGTAACCTAACAAGAAACAAACTTACCGACTCTTTCACGCCGACTCCTTGTTTAGTCTTAAGCCTGGGAAATAGGGGCGTCATATTCCCCGAAATTCGGTTGATTTTCGCTGACTGCACGGAATTATATCGCAGAAGATAAAATTCTTTATATTCACGGCTGTCAGAACCTAAAATCTTACAATTCTTTAAAATTTAATAAAGAATATCCAAGTTAATTAAAGCCTATAAATATGAGCACAGGTATTTGACTTATATAACTAAGAAAATCCGTGGATTAGAGTCCTTTAAAATCTGAAAGTCGCTCAGCTAGTAAAGGAATCATAAACCATTTATGGAAACGAGAGCTGGTTAACTTACTAAATAAAGCTCGCTATTGGAGAATATCCCGAGCCGGTTGTATCTAGTGCATGTTCTATTTCACATGATTAATACGCGTACTACACTCCCATTTACGCATAGATGTATGAAGTGGCCTACACCTTTCAAGCTTTCCATTTAAAGTTTTTTGTCTTGTGCTACATGTCCTCTCTCTATTGTCTGAATATTGTCTGTTTCAAAACTTATTCTGAATCGAAAAAGTCAGACGGTGTGATTCGTTGGAGTCTAAGAAGAAATGTGGGCTGTTGGTTGAAATTGTTGTGTTAGCAGAGTAAACTTAAAGGCCTTAGACAGAGAATTCTATCCAGACGGCGCCATCAACGCAACACACGTCGAATATAAATAGAATCCATTAGTACTTAGCTGTTACTTACCGACCACAGTCATAGAAGCGGACTTAATTTCCGTGTGAAACAGCGGAGCATCTGCAGACACCTCGCACTTGTAGAACCCAGTGAGTTGTTTTTGCACGTCAAGCAGGGTCACATTCCGAGCGTCGGAGAGGGAAATCTGTCGGACAAACACACACACAATTGTATTGACTCTGCAAACAGAGGGTATAGACCGGATGCGTCCGGACGCTTGCACTGTTGCCCCCCCCAAACCTCACACACATATCCTGGATTTGTTTGTGAGATAGTAACCATGGACACAGCAGAGGAAAAGTAAAAGGAGAGAACTACATGAAGTGAAGCTTGATAAGTTGTACGGTGCACTGCGCATTTTTGTTCCCAGACTCGAACGGGGCATCTATTTTTTTTTTCGGAACTGGAATATTCGTATTCCTCGGGAACCAACTTAAAATGGACAAACTCTTGAATACCAAATACGAACAAAATCCTTTAACCGTTGTAGCGCTACTGAAGCGCACATACATACATGGCCGCGCCATAGCTCAAGCGGTTAGTAGCTGGCTTCCCAACGCGGCGGCCCGGCTTCGATCCCAGGTCTGGTCAAGCGCGATTTGTGGAGGACAAAGTAGCGCTGGGGCGGGTTTTCTCCGAGTACTTCGGTTACCCCTGCCAATCTTCATTCTACCAAATTCTCCATCATCATAATCACCCGGGGCAGACAACAATAGGCCAATCAGTGGCCGCCGTGCCGAGTGAACCCAGTTGGACTCCACACCCCACTAAGAAAATTTAATTTTTGTTAATACATACATACACACATACATACACAGAGACTGATGTGTGGTGCATGAAAAACCGATCTTTCGTAATCAGGAGTTTCATGATGTGTGAAGCCAACACAATTTCGAGGTAAGTTTTTGATGACTGCTGTGCTCTCTCCTGTACACTAAGCATAAGAGAAAGAAACAGACAAGAGTATGTGGAGACCACATATGCTTCAGACTGTGACCTACTACGTACGTCTAAATCATTACTTACTGTCCTAAAATTTGGCATCGGAGAAATTCACTCGAATTTGCCTGGCACTTCCGATTTTATGCCTCGGACCCACCAAGGTGTCTAATTTATTTAAGGCCTTAAATGACACTTAGATGTGTACCCATAAACCTTTAGTAGAATTATATAATTCCTGATTCCTCTATGATGAATCTTCGCATAACTTTAGTTTGTCACTTTTATTTTTAGCTATATTAAAGTATTACAAGCCTACTTTACTTATAATAGAACCATGATGGAGCTTCGTATATACCCCATAAACGGCTTTTCTAATTTTGCTGAAGTGTATTCAGAATCGTGGTGGTGTTGAAATACGAATTTTGATTATTTTATCTAACATATTATGTCTTACACAAATACCATTCACAAACATGCCGCAAAAAATTAAGTAAATTGCAAAGAAAGGCTTTGGAAATTTGTGAACTTCATTACAGAACACAGTTTTTCCGAACTTGTTTTTGTTTCTTACTCTTCAACGAAGCTGATTCAGCTGCACTCTTATGCAACCCCGATGCAGTGTAAACGTACCTACTCCGCGACATAACGAAGCCATCTGAACAGAATTGTAAGACAGTGTTAAACTTATCTAATTTTGCGGCGAATTTAGAGTTCCGTACAAAACATGAAACACTTACGAAATTCAGCAGATTACCCTAAATGAGAGGTTGGAGTTTCATTATGCCTCTGTATGAATCTATTACTCTATATCACTTTGCAGGGACCTGATCGCTTTTTAAGTTCCTTAATCTTTTTACAGAGTCGGTAGGGCCCTTGGACGGGGCATCAGCCGGACGCAAGGCCGCTACCTACACACAGAACAACACGAACACAGAATAAACGCACAGAGACATCCATTCCTTAAGTGGGATTCGAACCCACGATCCCAGCGTTCGAGTGTGCGGAGATCGTTGATGCCTTAGACCGCGCGGCCACTGCGATCACCCTGTGTGTGAGTCAGCACCTCAAATAACGTCTGACCCAGCTGATTTTTTTTCCCTTGGCACTACAGCCCCAGTGGGCCTAGGCCTACCTCCATGAACTTCTCCGTTCACATCCAGCTGATTAAATTTCATTAAAACTGGTATGAACATGCTGAAGGCTATGTCCACTTTTGTGCGCCTTATTTTTCCTCTTACTGAAACCAACATGGCTGTGCATGAACATTTGAGTTACGAGAGGCACCAGCGCCATCTAAAGCAAGAATGTGAATTCATGTGTCAAAATATATCTCCGAAAGTTTTCTTTCGTAATGTAAAATCCCTTGTGAGGATAAATCTATTTGATGTATATGTAACAGTATTGACACATAAATTTTTGAAAGTAGTCACGTGAAAATTGATTTGAACAGAGAGCACAAAAATTACAATTTCAATTAAATATGTTTTATTTAACCGTAAGGAAATCAACGGTCTATGAAACTTTGTGCTTGTATGTGATAATTTTAACGTACTTGGAATCCATATCAGCGGGAAACAGTGGACAGAATTGAGTAAAATATTATTTTTGTAATTATTGTAATAAGCGATAGCATAAGAAGACAGAAAACATGGACTTGAAAATGTGGGAAGGATGGAAGAAGGAAGATTGTCAATGCACGCTGCTTGGTATACACCAAATGAATAAGAGATCCTGGTAGACCATGTAGAAATTGGAGTTCGTATGAGACGGAGCAGGCCATTGGCCTAATCCCTGGGCCTGGGAAATACAGGCAGGAATTTTATTATTGTAATTTTCTATTTTATACTACTTGTATACACTTTGGTGTAATACTCGAAGAAAAGTGCTTATCATGGGGTTTTCCCACACTTCCTTGTAGAGGCCTATTACAAGAAATATATTACTTTCTACAGATATTTTACAAGCTTTTCTCGTTTTTAATTAATTCATTGTTGAATCTGGTCTCTAATTCAGTACAATATTCTTACACGCGAAAGGACACAAGTTGTAGAGAAACACAGATATGAAAATACATTATGAAAATAATGGTTATTAATAAGGGGCTAGGTACGTAAACATGATAAAGGATTTTTTATCGAATATTAACCAGGATATTCAGCACGATCCTTTCTTCAATTATAAGGCGTATTACATACATCCTCTTACGCATACTAGTGCCACATTTTTATAAAATACTTTATGCTTACTTGCACCCGTTACAGACAAATAAGCAACGGAGTGCTTGAAGGGTTCTCTACATATAAAGGGGAGCCATTTATGTCTGTCAATCCTCATGCTTCATCTTCCAGGCCATGTAAAGGATTTCGATGAAAGTTGGTGCGGGAGATATACACTGAAAGTCGTGCAAGGAATTTCATTTTGGTCCATATCGGTTTGCTATAACTCCTCCCTTACATGAAATTCGGATAGAAGTTATTAAAACCAAAAAAGCAAACAAGATATTGATACATTCAATGAAAAGAAATCCGTATATGCATCATACAATACAAGGATCTCTCCACGGTATAACAGCTGTTCAGAAGAGAGACGAAGCAATATTTGACTGAATGCGTTGATAGGCCGCTCCATAGCTCAAGCGATTCGTCGCTGGCTTCCCATCGCGGCGGCCCGAGTTCGATTCCGGGGTCTGGTCAAGTGGGATTTGTGGTGGACAAAGTGGCGCTGGGCAGGTTTTCTCCGAGTACTTCGGTTTCCCCTGCCAATTTTCATTCCATCAATTGCTCCACAATCACCCTCACCTATCATCTGGGGTTGGTAAAATAGGCCAGAAGTGGCCGCAGTACAGGGGACTTAGTCCCACCCCACTAGCAATAAAAAAAATACGTTGATGAATAATTTTTGTCCCTTAGAAAATCTGCCCGGAGTTGTCTGGGCGTAACTGTTAATGAATCAAAAATCTGTAGAAAATAATTTGGGTTTACAAACTTAATGTAGCAACAGCAGTATATACCCTGAAACTCTCTCTGTATATTTCTAATAATCCCATTTTTGTCAATGCCTCTGTTGTCAACGATCTCATTGTCTTCGCTACTCGGAAGCCGAGATCGCGGTTTCGAATCCCACACAAGGCATGGATGTTTGTTATGTGCGTAAGGTTTTATTCTGTGTTTGTATCGTCCTGATTTTAGGTAGAGGCCTTGCGACGAGCTGATCACCCTTCCAAGGAATCCTACCGTCTGTAAAAATGATAAATGGAACTGAGAAATCGGCCCTATTCTCCGAAGTTGGAGCGAGAGGAAAAAAATTGGAAAATTTGATGCCTTGAGCTAGACCCCGTTCAATTTTTAAAGTGTCTGGAACCAAACTCAGGGAGATCTACCATTACGTAAAATTCGTTAAATTAGGTACAAACAGATATTCGTTTTATCTATAGAGATCAGATGCACAACAAACCTTCAGGCTTCTACATATATTCAGTAGCTGAGGATGATGTGCAATAAGTGAACATAATTATGAATGACTTAGGCAGTGTCGTCACAAAGACGCATTTGAAAGGCATATGTTCGCCAAAGTGGAGTAATATTTCCATTCTGATTATATTCTTTATGAGCACTTAATATTCCGAATTAATTTACACATATGCCTTTCTCCCTCGTGAAGAAGAAGAATGCATATAGGATATTGGTGGGAAAGTCAGAAGGAAAAGACCACTGGGAAGGCCAAGGCGTAGGTGGGTGGACAATAGTAAAATGGATCTTTGAGTGATAGGATGGGATGGTATGGACTGGATTGATCTGGCTCGGGATAGAGACCAGTGAAGGGCTCTTATGAACACGGTAATGAACGTTCGGGTTCCATAAAATCCTGGAAAATTCTTGAGTAGCTGCAGAATTTGCCGCTCCTCAAGAAGGGCTCAACTCCATGAGTCAGTAAGTGAGTAAGTAAGTACTATACTAACGTAATGAAGTCTTCCCATTCACTTATTCAGAAATCTTTGGCTAGTGAAGAAATGTTAATGTTTCTGAGAAAGTTAATATAGCTCGCATGTCCTCAGGAAAGATGTGTCCCTTTCGATTTCAGTTTTCTGAATGTTTGAAAGTTCTGAAAGAAAGATGCGTTCGTGAATAGATATACGTAAATAAGGAAGGCAAAGTCTTATCTCCATCTCATGAAACAGTCATGAGAGGCGTGTCACAAATATCC